TATATATATATATATATATATATATATATATATATATACATAAATTTGACATGAGAAATATTTATAACCAATAAATAGTTGTAAAATTAATGTGCCGTGTAATTCGTTTTTTAACTACGTGATTTTGTCATATTAATTTCATGTACCTGCTGGTACTTTTTAAAAATAACTTAAAAATTATATCTTGACTGCTGTGCACTTTCGACACTTTCAATGGCGCGCGTTTTTCCTTTACACCAGCTTATTCAACGCTCATTAATCCGACCAACCAGACGCACGAAAAGACTGTAACGTGCGAGATATTTCGATAAAGCGATTACTTCAGACGATCACTTCAATGATCATTCTATTATTTTTACAAGAAAGGATAAATTTATTGGTCATTGGAGAGCAAAGGGAAAATTCTCATAATATCTTATAGATCTGTAATCGATCGCAAGTGTCGTTTTGTAAACGCATCTTTTCACCCCAAAGTGTACTTAAATGCAAGAATTTCGTGTATATATTCTCTTGCTTGTGACGTCACATCAGTAATCAAGATGGCCGTAGCGAGGAAACGGCAGTTTCAAACGTGGGAAGAAGACATTGGTAAATTCAAGGTGGGACACGCGCGCGGAATGTTTTCGGAGTGATGATTGTTGTAGCCTCTCGACTATCGAGCCTGTGCGTGCGTCACTGATTCGCGGGTAACTGTTTTTGCCGATTGTTTTGATACTCTCGCGCGCGACCGCGACGTTACGTCTCAGGCTGGCGAACGACGCAGTCGTTACCGCGGCATACGTGTGGCGGGATGCTAACTGCCACTTCCGTCGTCTCCTAAAATATTTAATCGGGCTCTCGTCGGTATCACGTTAGCACGCGTTTTTCCGATCGAATCGTACTTACGCGAGTGTCCGGAGTGCCACGACGAACAGCCGGGAACAGAATGCCGGGTCGAGAAGCCAGGAAGCAGACATCGATACATCAGATATTTCCAGGTGTGTTTTGAATTACTTATTATTTATTTACTTTTCCTCGACTTTTACGGACAAACTTGCCGAGAGCAAGAAGATATCTCGAGTCGGAATTTAGTTCAGTACATTCATACCCAGTAAGCAAGGAACATTAAATTAACGTTTAGAAACGTTGACTTTATGTGCATTGTTTGGATATTTTTTAATAATATTGCATTTATATTTTTCACATGTTATTTTGCGATATGATTTTTCTGAATGTTGTTTAAACGTTTTAAAAACACCACAAAAAATATATTTTTCAAATGTTATTTTAACATTTATTTGAGATCAATGCAACATCTTAAAAATATTTCTGACGATTAAAACGTTATGGCAACCCTATTTCAACATTATTGAAACTTCCAAATCGCGATCAAAGTATGTTTATAATGATTTTCTACACAATATTAAACATTACATATTTGACAATATTACAGGTTCTTGAATACCATTGTAGTAACGTTATATTAATGATTTCTTGCTTACTGGGTAAAATTCTTCATTATTTAGCAAATAATTTTAACTTTATGAATCTCAAGTTATATCGATTAAGCTATATTTATTTCAAACGAGAGATTGATACAAACAATTGAATAACGGTCTGTAAATGTAAATCTATGGTTTGTTCATATTGCTTGCACTTTTCGCACTCGATCTATTCGCTCTTGCTTTTACCAGCATTCGAATAATTGCGTCCGTCTCATTCTAAGTGCGAAAAGTGCAAAGAGTGCAACATGAACAAATTTTGTATTGAATTATCCTCTTAATCAAAGGTCGTGGATGATTTGCTACAAATACCTACTTTAGAACGTACTCTCGCAAAGGACTCCGCAGAATTCTTATGGGGAACGGCTTTCGGCTAATTTTTTTAAAAATTTGATACGTGTAGTTCTCAACACGTAGAACAAAAGTGTCCATGACCCCAAGATCCGATCACGGGTAGTTTTCGAGATACAGCACTCCAAAGTTGGGCTTTTCGTACCTTATTGCAGCGTAGTGCGGGTGTAGTCGATGTCGATGTACGATGATGCTTACGATTAAAGTGGATGTACAGGTGCTTGCTTGTTTGTGTGTGTGCGTGTGTGTGTGTGTCTGTCTGTCAGGAGAAATAAGGACCCCACGGTTCGTCACTCCCGCAGTATTTTATAACTCCAAACCCTCTCTACTGTGTGTGTGTATGTGTGTGTGTGTGTGTGGGTGGGTGGTGTGCGCGCGCACATTATTCATGAATAATCTCAATATTCCGAGGATTATCTGGAAGTTCTCGGTCTGCGGCATGCAATGTGGTATTGAGCAATGACGTGTCAGGATATTTGATATTTCCCTGATGCAAAACCTACTACAAACCGCTGGCAACGTGTGCACATTTACCTAGAGTACGAGCTCCAGACTGACATGTCCATTAATTAACTCATTAGGATTGTCAGCAGCATTCTAATCATCCTTATTATCGATCTCGTATGAAATGAAGATCTGATGTCTTGTTGCATTACGAAATCTGGAATACAACCTAATTCTCAGAAAACCTGGCTCGTTGAAATGTTGATCAAGTTGAAATTCTTCATCATTATCCCTTAGCTTATCTTGAATATACGAAGGTGCTAGATTTATTTGATAAATGCCCACGAGATCGATAATAGGGATGATGAGAATGCTGCTGACAATCCTAATGAGCCAATTAATGGATATTATTGTACGTGTCAGTCTGGAGTTCGTACTTTAGGTACATATGCACACGTTACGTTTTGTGGTACCTAGGTTTTGCACATCAGGGAAATATCAAATACCCTGACATGTCATTGCTCAATGCCACATTGGATGCTCAATATTCCAGATAAACCTCGGAATATTGAGATTATTGATGAATAATGTGCGCGCGCACACCACACACACACACACAAGCAAAAAAACAAGCACCTATACACCCACTTTAATCGTAAGCATCGACATCGACTGCATCCGCACTACGCTGCAATAAAGTACGAAAAGTCCAACTTTGGAGTGCTGTATCTCGAAAACTACTCGTGATCGGACCTTGGGACCTTGGACACTTTTGTTTTACGTGTTGAGAACTACACATATCAAATTTAAAAAAAAATTAGCCGAAAGCCATTTCCCATAAGGATTCTGCGGAGTCCTTTATCGTATAATCTCGAACGTAATCTCGCTGATTTATATACCTAATAATGTCCTTTGGGTAATGAATTTTATTTTGTTGGCAACTGCCAATATTACACTTCTATGTGTTTATGATTGTACCGTGTAGAAATTTAAATTTTTATCGATGCATAGTATTATTGAACCTTACTATGTTTGCTTTTCTTTCTGTTCACTCTTTCATATCTTCAAATCCTATTAAAATTCCCAACAACAGTAAAACAAGAAATAATCAAAGTGTTATGAAGAAAGAAAGTTCATATTGTGTTTCATATATACATTTAGCTGTTAATCCATATTAGATTTAATATCTGCTTATATATACCAATTAAATACCCAGTAAGCAAGAAATCATTAATACAACGTTGCTACAATGATATTGAAGAACCTGTAATATTGTCAAATATGTAGTGTTTAATATTGTATCAAACATCATTATGAACATACTTTGACCACGATTTAGAAGTTTCAATAATGTTGAAATAGGGTTGCTATAATGTTTTAATCGGTAGAAATATTTTTAAGATGTTGCATTGACCTCAAATAAATGTTAAGGTAACATTTAAAAAATATATTTTTTGTAATGTTTTTAAAACGTTTAAACAACATTCAGAAAAATTATATCACAAAATAACATGTGAAAAATATAAATGCAATATTATTAAAAATATCCAAACAATGCACATAAAGCCGTCAACGTTTCTAAATGTTAAAGTTCTTTGCTTACTGGGTATACTCTATTTACAATGCAGCGAGTTACACAGTCAATATATTTTTTATTAAAATTAAGAGAACAATGAGGCTCCTCTGTGCTCATCTTCACTAGTGACATCTGAAACAGAAAAACATATGCCTAAAATTCTTATTACAGAATATATCGAAATGAAAAATAATGTTCATAAATAACAGTTGGGACTGATTGAGCATATTTGTCAAATATTTCGAAAATTTTTGTTTTAACAATCGATATAGATAATCTCGTAAAAATTAACGTGACATATAGCCTTTCTTTTTAGCCTAACGATTCTTTTCCTCACGTTAATTTATTGGTTTTTATTGATTGTTAGAGTAAAAGGAAAGTTTTTGAAATATATTACAAATGTGTTCAATCAATTCCAAGTGTCACTTTATGAACATATCTTTTTATTTCAGTATATTTTGCAAGAATTTTGGGTATACGTTTTTTCGCTTCTGACGTCAGTAATCAAGAGTTCCCTGGCGAGGAACCAGGAGCCTTAAATGAAGATAGAATGTCGTGATAGTCGAATATGAAATAATTTAGGAACAAGTATTTTAAACTATGCAAGAGATAATAAGTAATAATTTGTAGCATAAAGGTAGGACTATAAGTTTATATAACATTATATTTCAAGATTTCCTCCATTAGCTCCATTGGTTTTCAAGTGCAGTAAAATTTGCACAATTAATCTAGAAGCAAAATTTCAGAAATGTCATTAGTTCTATCCATGTACTCATAAAGTTCTATCCACGGCGGGGATGAGGGAAAAGACACACGCGGCCGACAACGTTCTCAAAGTGCTAATTTTATTTATAGGTTTTTCTTTATGACACAAATCACTTTTAGCATCTACATGAGTAAGAGTACGGCTATACGAGAATGAATTTGATACAGATCACTTATTAATGTAAATACAATGTTCCTCCTCAATTACACACTCTATCAACTAGATACTTAGAAAACACTGTACAACGCAGCTGAGAACTGTCGCGATTGATACTTTACAATATGGTACAACCACTCCTTGAAGCGAGACACGAGCTCCGAATCCGACTTGTCCGCTCGAGGACCTTTCCACCTCGTCTGCCTTAATGAAGGGAGGAAAAGGGGGGTATCACCCGCGACCCGTAGGATTTAACGACGCGCATACTGCTCTCGATACCCTCCTCTTGTGCGGACTGTAGGCCATATCGAGCGAGTTTGCCCGCCGAGGATCGCATTCTCCCGGAAGCACGCATCTCCTTGCATCAACAACGTTCCCCCGCGAGATATCGAACGCAACTTCCGGTGTCACCGCAGGCACTCCGTCGCCGCCGCCGCCGCCGCCGCCGAATCCTTCGCGACGTAGTCTCGTTCCTAGCAAAGTGAAGAGGGAGGTAGCGTGACGCGAGCGAGCTTCAAGAATATACCGTCCTCCTCTTCGAGGAGAATCTTCGCCATACTTGGCGTTCAAGGGCGCGTCAATTGACATGTCCGATTATCCGCTGATAGGACTATCACCTCCGCTCG